GTCTTTGACAGTCGAAATTGCCAGAATTGACTTTGTAAGGAGGATGAATAACATTATCTAGGCATACTAGCGTGTTATGTCTGGAGTATTTATAAATCGGGAAAGGTAGGTCGCCAAGCAAAGTTTGTATGAATAAGGTAGAGTTCAAACGTGCCTTAAATTCTTTGTTTCATTAAAAAATAGTAAAGCAAGAGGCAGTGATAAGTGATTCATTTTAAGTGCATTGTCACCAATGTTGTGTGAAAAGTTGACAATCTTTGTGATTAATACACTAGCTGTCAGGGTCTCAGTAGCATGTCATCCATTATAGATCAGAGGTTTTATTTTTCAATTAAAATGGTACTTAAGACTAAAAAGGGTTTTTTGCTAAAAAAATAATGCCCTACACCTGTTTTGCCGTTTTAGAAACACCCAATAGGCTTTTATGCAATCGGGTACCTGAAACTGACCAAGATCATGTGTCACATATGTGTGACACTATAACATGCATGTTACCTTTGAATGTTGATGCCATACAAACTTAACCATTAAGCTTAACAAAGATAAGGATATAAAATCTTTTCGTAGACTAAGCAGTGTGACCAGAAGGCGTTCCAGGTGAACATTTGCATTTTCTTCAGCATATATCATTAATAGAGGAAATGTTCCACCGCTCCATTGGCAGGTAGGATTGAAAGTGATCAAAACGTCCAACCTTATTCACGACCACGTAAAAGACGTTCAGGAATAAATTTGCAAAATATGAAAAATATAACAGATCTTGGGGGTGTAAATTTGTCGGAATATGAGTTTTGTGCGCCCAAAGAAATATTTAACATTTTATTAAGGGGAAGCAAAAATTGTAAAAAGCTACAAAGAGAAATGAAACCCTTAATCAGATATTTGTGACGTTTCCTACACTGTTAATTTTCTAGCATCTGTTGTGGATGCCTACTGAGCACTGGACTTATAGTCCTCATTTTCTCATTTCCGGTCGAGGAGATAAACTGTCGATACAAAAATAATGGCAGGATATAGTGCATAAATAGCCACGTCGCCAATTAACCTGATAGTGTAAAAATGTGTGATAATTTGTGCGGATGCAATGAGTAAAAAGCGTAATAAAAACTGGAAGTAACCGCTTTCCAAAATAGCCACTTATGAAAGCATTTTACAGCTAATATGAGTGAATCCAAAAGGATAACACTGCCTTTTAAATCATCCCTAGCGTACTCCCCCCATTCCCATCTATATTAATTACATACACGAGCGTGACAATGCGCCAATTATCTTTTTGTTAGCACAATAAGCACGTTCAGGCCCTAGTTCAGCAGCTTCCCGTGAATGCTGTCAGTCTGGGGATGGGAGGCACACTTGGGAGGGAGAGGACTGGGATAATTATTCGCCCATGTGTCCTCCCCCCACCCTTAACCTTCCCTCCCCGCTTATTCGGCACGCGCACTAAGTGTTTTACCCATTAAGTGTTTTTTTGTAAATGCGCAGGGCAGTGGGGGAAGGAGAGGATTTCAGGATGAGGGTCCGCACATGTGCTACTCCACAGCTGTCCCTCTCCACCCTAGGGGATTTCTCCCTTACCCCTTATCTCGAATTTTGTGAACATAGAGCATGAAAAAATAATACATCAGCGGGATCCAGTACCTGACACAATTTATCAGGGCATGTTTTTTAAATGACTGTTTGTATATGTGATGCTTTTGTCCTCTAGCGGGACTTTTGAAATATTCGAAGGAAGGTGGGAAAGGGGGGATGGTAGTTAGGTGTTGTTAAATTGTCGTTTATTTATGTCCAAGGCACTGGTTTTGATGACAATGGATATAACAAGGATTAGAGACTTAACAATCCATTGCGCTTAATATAATTTTACCACACCAATACTTTTATTAATTAGATGGAGTTAATTCATTGAGTTCTAGCAGAACGAAACGCGGCATTTAGTTTACACATTCGACTGGAGTACTAACACCATAGAAGTTTGGATTAAAAATCTTTCATACGTTAGCCATGAGCGTCTCATATGCGTGACGCGTGTTTCTTTATCAGCTAATGATGATCATTCGTATCAGGTTGTGTATCGTAGACAGACTGGTTGGGTTAAAACCATAAAGGAGATGTAGAAAGTTATTAGCTTGAGGGTAACTGCATTTCTGTTTTAAGGCAGCCAAGCTTTGTGGGCTGTGGTGGTCTTCTTTCCCCTCATACCCCATGTAACGAAAGTGTGAAGCGCCCTATTTTAGTCCCAAAATCACCTGAAGCGGATGGTGTATAAAAATTTACATTTCATGGGATGAATTTACGACCATTAAAACACGAATGTTTATACAATGTGAGGATGGAGAGGGATGCCAAAGGTCCAAGTGCCAGTGTTTACAGGGTGCACCCTGATTCATTGGACCAGGTGGGAACTGAACACCCTCGAATCACAATGAAGGAGTGTGTAATGTATCAAACCATTTGTTTAGATTAATGGTGAGAGTAAGTCTAAGGGCACTCGACATACTACTCTTCTTTAAAATAATCAGAAGTTCTATTAATGTCACCTCTGCTTTTATTTACCTTTTCAAAATGCCCACTTACGGGCTTGTTGGCCCAACAACGACTTCAAAAGCAACTCAGGTGCTATAATAGTGTAGCTTCCCAAGCTTTCTTTAAAAGGCATAATGAACATACCATAACAAAAAAATTTATTGTTAACACACAGTGGGACTAATAAGTTATGGCTATGGCCATTACGCCAAGCTAGCGTCCAAATGCACAGACTAAGAAGAAAATCTCCCTTAAGGGTAGGCTTTGTGGCACAAAGTTGTGACACAAACAGACTCTTGCAGACGTTCGGCCGACTGCTGTTATGACTGCGAGGAGTGAAAAAAGAATTGGACGATTGGAGATGCTGAACAGCATGTGAATGTTAATGCTCACCCTACATGCACTTTATTTCATGTCTTAAGTTCATAAAGTGGGTACGTAAGCAACTACCGACTGAAGAGCATAGGGACAAGTGTCTAGACATTTATTTTCAAAACATTCCCAAATACAATGAAGGAGGCAGCAAATAGCCATGTGGCATGAAATGTGAGTTCTCTACTATAAGCCGAGAAACAAGTCGTAAGGTATGTAGTAAAGTACAGAAGGATATTCGTTTTAATTTTACGGTTATATGCAACAGAAGTAGCTTTTTAATAAAGGCAGCATTCCATTCTGGGAAAGATAGGAAATACGAAGAGAGTCA